CCGTCGACCGTGTCGCTCTGGGGTAAAAGTTTGAAGTCCCGACCCGAATGTTCGCGGTTCGAGTCCTGACACCAGGGCACAAAAGGTACGTGCACTGCTGACGAGTCCCAAGAAGTGAAGAAACAGCTATCCAGTGTATTCTTTATCGGTCAGCACAAACATTTCCATTCCATTTGAGCGATATATAAGACTTGCTTTCTAGTGTTTCCTATGTAGCTTATCCGCTGCAATTACTTTGCTTAACCGTATGTCGTTCTGAATGCTTTGATGAGATATTCCCTATTTGTAGCGGTTGCTCAACTAGCAGTTTCATAAAGGCAGTTTTCTTTTCTTGACTCTTGCCTTTCTCTATTCTATTCTATTCAAGCTAGACGTGATCATCAAATCACGGACCAGAAGCATCTTCACCCTGCGCTGGTGACTATCATCAGGGCAGGTTCAGTTTCCAACCTGTCCTGTGTAGTTGATGACTATCGGGACACGGCTACATAACCATGGCATACTCATCAGAACCGTCAAGGTTCATATATCAAGTAGAAACGTAACCCCTTGAGTATGTAGAATTATTACAAAAGCTATCCTACCGTTGTTCTTTTCCTTTTTACTTAAGATGTGTTCTCCATCGAGTGCAATCAAGTGTACCTTCAAGCTTTAGCATGTATCGCCATTATTTGGTGACAGTGATCTTCTAGGGAAAGTTTCTTCATTAGATGTAGCAACATGGATATACTCTAAGTATTATCGGGCTTTTAATGAGCTCAAAGAAAAAAAACCGCACCGGCACGATTCCTCACGGTAAGCTCTGTATGGCACGCTTCGCTTGCACCGATCAGATCTACTTTCAGATTTCCACTGCCCTTGATAAAACATCAGCCTGAGCTAGACAAACTCCCTTTCAACATTTCGGAAGTTCCAGAATATGTCTTGGTTCTGTTTCTCTCTGAGAAGGATATCCAGAAAGAACGCAAGCAAACATTAGTGACAGGTTCTGAGGAACATCAGCAACCCACTAGTCACCAAATAGTCACTGTTGCTGACACAAAGATGTTTAATACGGTTAGTCTGATTTGTTGTTTTAAATTTATAACAGTTTCGCAAAACAATCATATCATTAAAGGTCACACAAGTGTGTGACTTGGCTCATCCAGTGCTATTTGCAGTCCCGTTATGACTTAATTCATCTTGCTCGTCTAGCCCTACACCTCACCCGTTCGTGAACTGTTTTACTGCGTTAGTGTGACAAAACTGTACGGACATAGATGCCGATCACAGTAAACTCGCTAAATAAAGATGATCTGCCGCACCACGAAACTGTGGGAAACACTCACTCACAGCAGTTTATGGTGTACACTGGCAAGGGTGAACCTATGGCACCGGACAAGGCGTAGATACAAAACTTGCGGACGGAGAACGTGGGAGATAAGGCCTCAGAACGGCTACGAGAACGAGTAATCTTTATCACGGTCAAAATTCATTAACCAAGACTCTGATCGTTCCCATTAATTGAAGTTATTCCAGGTTCCCTGAAAACAATCGATCGCCTGTGATGCATGACTTCAAGCAATCAAACCTTATCACTGCGTATCCGTGAGTAATACATGATGGGCCAGAAAAAAGCACTGTGGACAAAAATGGCACCAGTTGCATTCCAACATTTGTAGGGATCCGGAAATGTTTTTCAGCAGATCAAACTACTGAGTACAGAGTGTATAGTTAATTGTAAACACGGGGAACTGTATGTGCAGGTGAAGTCAACAGGATGGACAGCACAAATTATAATAAAAATATCTTTCATCCGGTCGAATTAGCTCTCTTTACAATTATAAATATTTCAAAATTTTAAATTTTACCAATTTAAATTAACCGTAAGAAAGGAGACAACCAGGTAGTAAAACAGGAATTACTTACAGTAATATCTGCTTTGGATATTGGCTGTTGCTTCACTTGGTATATGTATATATATGTCATATATATGTGTTAAAAAGAAAATACAGAAAACGAAAACAGTCAACTTTGGGGATAAGCCATTGTTTTTGTTACTTTTTGTCTCTTGTTTTCTTCACTGCGTTTGATCGTAAAATCCTTCCGAACTCTTGCAGTGTGACGGAACTGGCGTGAATTTGTTTTGATTGACCCGAGCAATCCATCCAAAACTCCGAAGCAATGCCCGTTTTCAATCTCTGCAGGCGAAAGCAAGAACAATCCTCACGCCTGGTGTGCGCTTTTGGTATTTCACAGCTAGAGCCAATCGCACGCCATTCCGAGCCACAATTTGCACCCAATCAAATTGTGACTTCCAGATATACATGGTGGTCTTTCCTTCCGATCAGCCTGTTTGAATTATTTCATCAAATATCTAATCTGGCATTTGCGATCCTATCATTGCTCTATTTGTTCGCCACGGGGGCAACCGGTTTCTGGGCGACCGTATGCCCTCTCTCATTCGCCCTGGTGACTGCGATGATCAAGGATGCGGTGTACGACATTTTTCGTCAACGTCAAGATAAACTGGTCAACAACAGACTGTTTGAAACGATTCATTTGGATGACAGTTGTGAAACTCTTAGGCGTGTGGATCAGAAATCGTCCAATTTACGTGTTGGTGATGTGGTTATTTGCAAATCCGAAACTGAATTCCCGTGTGATATGGTCATCCTGTCATCCAGTGATCCACGTCGCCGAATCGAAGTGACTACGGCAAATCTGGACGGGGAAACAACTGCAAAAACGCACTATGCGTTACCGAGTACACAAAATCCGTATCTGCACATTTACCGGGAGTGTGACAAGAATGGGTTGATGACTGCTTCTTTGGACCTGGTAAAATCTTTGCTTCTGATTGTTGAGTGTGAACCGCCCAACGCTAATCTCAACACGTTCGAAGGGAGGATACACGATCCCTCAAGTTCGACGGATGTGCCTGATCAGCGAAAAGACGCGGGGATATCATTTGACAATGTTGTGCTTCGTGGTTCCAAACTGGTTAACACCGATTTCATGATTGGTTTGCCTATTTACACCGGATCAGACACAAAATTATCGTTGAACGCCAGAGGAGCGCGACGGAAATACACCGCTCGTGAATCTAAATTGAATGTCATACTCGGAACATTTGCATTAGTTGCTGTTCTATTGAGCATCCTAATGGCGATCGGTGCCACTGTGTGGTCTATCACAATCGGCAAGTCAATCTGGTTTCTACCGCAAATGAAATACACCGCTTGGGAATTTGTTCAAAATGTGTTCTCGTTCTCGTTCATCACCACCTATCTGTTACCCATATCTCTGATCATCACAATCGAGTATCAACAAGTAGTTTTGGCCGGTTTTATCAGCAGAGATATGGAACTGTACGATCCGAAACAGGATATTCGGTCCTCCGCAAAGACTGTGCACACAGCCGATGAGCTGGGACAGATTGAATTTTTGTTCAGCGACAAAACGGGCACTTTGACAGAGAATATGATGGTTCTCAGAGCGTGCGCGGCAATCCCATCAAATATTGTATATCGAATTGACGGAGATCAAGTTTCTCGAATTCCCGAATGGCGCCGAAGCAGTTTCACCGATCCAGGTTACGGTCTGAATAGTAATGAAGTGGCACAGCACAGAAGCGGTCAGGATGAGGAGACAACTCCAGTTGGAGAACAAATAAGATCAGACAGAACTGACAAATTGGCCCTCCCCAAGAATTTGATAAAGCCCATACTTGTGGCTACCCTTTGTCATTCTATTGAGGTTAAGCGAAATAATCCGGCCATTGAAACACTTCAATCGACATCACCGAAAACAGGATTGATAACGACTTATCAAGTGAGTCAGAATCTATTCTTTCTAGAACAAGCTCCTAGTGTTGTATGCTTGACACTTTACTTTTTGAATAAGTTTATCTCGTCAATATTTGCATTTCAATAAGGTGCTTTGGTCTCTAAGATTCCAGGTTAGAATTGTGCAAACACCACCACCACCACCAACAACAACAACAACAGCAACATAAAACTGTGACGTTACACAGATTTGTTATAATCCGACTTAATGTCACCTTTTGGTAACTGGGAATTTGTGCGTTTTTCATCTTGAACGCTTACACCTAGACCTGGTTGTTGACTTCACAAGTTACAACGATCCATGTAGAGTGACGCGCAAAAAACTCGGAAGACGGTGTCTTTCAACAAATAGGTTTCTTCTACAAATGCGGTACTGAGATACAGTTTACAGTAATGAAAAATATGCAAACCTCAAACTGTGGCACTAACCGGTTAAAAACACCGGAATCTGTGAAGTCAGTAATTCGACAAGCAAGAACTGCGAGCAGGCAGGCGCGCAGCGCGATGACAATAGAACCAACACACCGAACAATGTCGAACAGGATCACATGAATCCGTGGTGGTCAATAGTGAGAAGCGACCTAGAGAGAACCAATCACAACACAGTTGGTGTAAATGTGTCATCAGGGCCCGTCGTGACAGGACAGTGCGGTAAATCGGTGTAGGTGTGTGCGTGCGTGTGTGCACAAGTGTCAGAGTCAGTCGATCATGGGGACGGATGAGACCGACAGAGGTCAACGTAATGGGGCCAACATACTAATAGAGCGTGTGTATGTGTAAACGGCGTGGAGAACAGTCATGGAAGGCACGGATCAATGAGGGGATGAAATCAACGTTACACGGTCAAAGGGAAGATAATGTACAACAGGATAGTGGTGCTGGGTGTCTGTGTGTGAAGAGTGTCAATATGGGCAGAATTTATTCTACACTGGTACAAAGAGCGAAAAGCGCGCATTTTACAGCTTAGAGCATTAGACAAACAACAGATGTAAATGGGCATTGTTTCGTTTATGAAATGATCAGTTACCCTGATTGGATTCGAACTGGCGCATGAATGCCGTCTGTATAGTGCACCCACTACTGGTTAACCTACGGGACCAAGCACCCAGCGTCTAGCTGGTATCTAAGCGTGATTTAAACAAGGGTTTCTGACCTTTGCACAGAATTAGAATATGTATCAAAGCCACCGTGTGTATCCCTCTAAAAGATGGACCGAGTAATAAAACTTATTACTAGCCACTGGTGAAATACTGTGCTGGTCAGGAATTGTTACGTCATCAAAAACAAGGCGGTGTGTTTGGCATTTTATGCACGTAAAGAAATATTCTATTTTGAATACCATACGTGTTCATAGAAATAAGCTCGCTTGAATGTTTAGGCATAACTTGGTCAAATGAGCTAAACCCAATACACGAAGAAAATCCATCACGGAGATGGTCATTGCATATAGATATATGCATTTAATTTGATGTGATCTAAACCAGATTAGTCACTGTAAGCCCATTCTGAATAAACACACAGGTCAGTGAAGAAATCTGAAATGGAATGTTATCTGACTGATCATACGTTTTGCCAATTGTGCTTTAAACTACACACCAAAAAGACCAAATGGTCATTTTGGTCGTTTCCTTTTTTTAAAACTCGCATAAATTTGTGCAAGATGAACTCCGAAGTCACCATCTCTCATGTCTTTCTTGTGTTGCGGTAATTTCGCAAATTTTTTTGCGTGAGTTAAACGATATTTGACCTATAGACACCAACGTCTTTTCCGCCCACAACGGAAGCCAAACAGCAACTTGGGTCACCTTCATACGTGATTATTTTCTTTGCTGTTTCTGTAGCTAACTGAAACAGATAGGACCGGCTTTGGTCGACACAAAAACCGCTGTTATTAATCCTCACTTTTTGTTTATCGATCAATCTGAGCACATTATGCTACAAAATGATTCATTAAATAGAATTGCATCTCTCGAGTCGTACACAGAAATGGACCCGCTTAGTCCTGGATGCAATTGTTGGGATGACTTTTGGTGATTCAGTGGTCCTATTTGATTAATGGACAGCGGTAGTCACGTGGTGAAAATCATCGATATAGCGATCCAGAGGTCTTGAGTTTGAACCGGGCCAATGCCGCTCATCCTCCTCATTTCTGCATGTCCAAAGCAGCCTTTATGTGGCCACGGTTTCCTTCCTGAAGGTTGAATGTACATTTGTAGGCTTCATGATCCATGAACCGTGGATTGTACATGGGGATGGAATTTGAAAGACACTCAATCAGAATCAAAAGCAGTAGTACCTTAGCTGTAGTTAGCACTAACTAAAAGAACTATTCAGAAAATCCAGTGGATGTGTCTCTACTCTTTATATGATTTCTAGGAATTTCCTCACCCACTTCTTGTGTGAATCACCTAACACGTCTGTGTGACATTAGTAAGAAATAAATTCACGCTACAATGGCATGTTCAATGGTGGAACAGATGTCACCTGTAAAACTCAGTTTGTAGAAAACTATGCTCGATTGAAGTGGATGCGGCATTCTTTGGCTAGACCAAAATCCACTGATTCACTGGAAACATGGGATACAGTCAGGGGATACCAGCTGTTGGTATATTTGGTAGCGGAACGAACTGCCGTGTTGAAAATACTATAATGTGGTGATCGTGTAACGAGTACGCACGCACCGCGGTACAGTTTCCAGGTAACCAATCAAGAAGCGGATAACCGACCAACCCTGTGTTCTCAATTGACATCACGGATTGGCTGAGTGCAAGAAGGCAAACAGATAAACCATATCCTTGTCGATTGGACATTCAAGAATCGACCAATGATTGTTTGTTGCTTGTAATATATATATATCCATGATTTTCTCAATAGAATTAAGTGTATCCACAGCTCGTCTTGATTCTACCTGACTTTGCGCTATTCAGTGGGTTTTCAGTCCGATTCCGAGTTCGCTTTATTCGATTTCGATTCCTATTCCGAATACTACATATAATCAAGCATTCGTTTGTCATATCAAAAGTCACCGGCCAGACTATTCTGGGAGCAGATATCTTGCACGGTTTAGGGACCGTGAATGGTCTGAACAACGGACAGCTCATTACCAATCCGATCCCTCTTTTGTGCTCAAGGGGAAGGAGTTGTCCGCCGTAAGTACAGAAACAGCACACACGAATGTGTCGGCAGTGGTGTAACAATACTCCCTCCCATCTGTTCACAGACTATGATGACCCGTAAGGGTTATGTAACTTGGTTAAACACGAAAGTCTAATAAAGTCAGGGAAATTTCAGGCCTAACTTTCACGCCGAATTGCACTGCACTGCACTTAGGGGACAAAGTCAAGTGGCAGGTTGAACAAATGGTAAAGAAGGGAGAAACTGAACAAGCTCGAAATTCGTATAACACCCGCGTGCTGTCGGTCAAAAAGCTCAAATACAAATTTCGATTTAGTGTAAATTTTCACCAAGCAAATACTGTGATTAACAAATCGGTAGGAATGCCGACAGTAGCAGAAATTTACTTATCTCTCTGCTAAAGTTGTAAAGCCACTCATAATAGTAATCATTTAAAAAATAATAACGAGAACAATGATATTGCATAGCATCATATCCAAGTTTGGAACGGATGTCTTTGTGGAAAATGTGCATCATGCTCATGGTATTAGATCCGCATAGAAATGTTTCGGTTAGCCACAACAACAGAAAACCAAAAACAATCATTTTCTGTTGACAATGTTTCAAACGTCTTGGAAGGCCTTTTAAAGTCAATTAACAAGCGAACATTGAAAGAAAAATCTGTGAGAGAAACCGTAACAATCGGAGGAGCTTTTGATTAGGCTAGGGGAAGGGAAACCCAGCTGATGTGTATACCTGTCCTAATAAATGACAGCATGAAAGTGGCGAATGAACAAGAGGTAAAAGAGCTAAGTGTGGCGTCGTAGGAGATGGGACATTAGTCTGTGAGCAATTTTGTGATGAGGCGAGATTTAATGTTGTGTCGGTATGCATGGATGTATGGGTGGCATCAAGCCAGTGAACTGATAATTCAGCTCCGACCGGATCGATTGACGTAAAGTCGATCGCTATTAATGGAAAACGCCTCAGTAATTAATCGTTTTCTATATGACCTGAAACCATGTTTTAAACTAAAGGATTTCTTGAAGTCTATAGAGTGTCCTTCAGAAATGGAATGCAGAGCGATATTGGAGTCCCTCTCAAGCTCCAGTGTATTTTTTGGAGTGCGTTTGTATTTCCTGTCATGTTCGCCTACTCGCATCTTTAGTTGTCCACTTGTTTGGCCAACGTAAGTGGCTGCACACTGTTTACATCTTATCAAATAAAGGAGATTCGATTGATCAACTCTTGGTTGTTGTCCTTAATTTGCGTCAAGATTGAAAGACGAATGTTGATTGCCCGAAATGTGACGGTATTTTGAAACGGTTCAATATTCGTTGAATGTCTTCTGATACATTGTGGTGACAAAGGTGTGACACTAGTTGCAATCCAATCTGTCTTTTGTTCTAGCCGGTTTTGCAAATGTTTTAAGAATTTTAAACATTTTCTGTGGAAAAGTCGCGCATATCAGTTATCGGTCATTTCTGTTATGACCAGTTGAACTTCTTTTGCATTTGTCCATTTTAATCACAAAATCCCTGGATGGATCGGATTTCACTGAAAAACTTGGGTGTTGTGCTCATGTGTATTGAGACAATTAGTTTGTGTTATCCACGATCGTTTTGGTTTTTTCGTTCGTTCATCTGCTCTGGTTAGACGGTTAGTCACCTCGTTAGTAGTCTCCATGGTTATGGGGGAGTTGGACAAATATCTGCTTGTGTGCGTTTTGGCTTTCTGTACGCGGATATTATTAAGTTGCCCTAATCATTGCAATTTACTGGGCTTTCTATGAAGTTAATGCTTTTATCTTGCTTTTCTATTGTAAACTTGATGTTTTCGTGAAAATGGTTGATGAATTGTGTAAATGGTTCCACAAAGTTCTTCTTGATCACAACACAGTTATCATCTACGTATCTCCACCAGATTCTTGGTGATGTTGACGTAGATATAGGTATTCCCGCAACCAAGGTTTTCCATGAACACGTTTGCTCCAGTGGATGAGACTGGGCAACCCATTCACACTCCATCGGTTTATTGGAGCAAAGATCCGTCACAGATGAAAAGAGAGGATTTCAGACATGTAGAGGTTGTCCTGATTCTGTATTTTGCATCAGGTGGTGTTCTATCGCACAAGGAATTGTCGTTTGATGGAAGCCGCTTAAGTAGTGCGGGAAAGTTTTCAATGAATATATGGGCGAAAAGAGAAACAAAATCGTAAATTACAAGAAATTCAGACTGACCTATTTCAATGTATAAGTATATGGATAAAATGGTCAAGCTTTTAGTGACATGTTCATCACATTTTTGAATTGATTGTAAAATGCTTGTAAGAAATTTTTAAAGGGGTATAGTTTGGAGTGCTTTTGCAATCAATTATTGATCTTACAGGAAAATATGCTTTGTAAATTTTGGGTAAGCCATAAAATCTCGAAGCATCGTTTGTTTGTTTTGGGATTCAATCGAAATCGCACTGACTTGTCCAGTATTCCTTTTGAGGAATTTCACATTAAGTTCCCTCTGTTAGATGATGACGGGTTTTTCTGAAATAATCCACCTTGGTCATGACAACCATTTGGTTGCCTTTATAAGCTTTTGTAATCACTATACTCTTGTCCTTGCGGAGATATTTAATTACTAAACGTTCCTCTTTCGTTAGATTGCACACTTGCTTCCTTTGATTCTGTAGGGTACAAGCGTTCTAAGAGTGAACTTTGGTGGCCTCTTCCTCTGGTATTTTTTGTAATTGTTCTTCACCCGCATGGACCATGTCGATATGCCTCAGGTACGAACTATTCACATGAGAATTAAGTCCCGTGTTTAAAACGGTATGATTCTGTTTTCTCTCGTTGTGGCTAATCCAAGCAGTCCTATGCGTATCTAATAATTATGTCAATTTGGAAAAGTGTCATTTATCTGTCCGAACGAGTCATATGAATGAAGTCACCCGTGATATGATGCATTTATCACGGATTCCCATCAGGCAAGTTCCCCGGACGAAAAGGCGCTAGTCGAAGCTTGTGCCAGATTGGGCTATATTCTCAGAGCCACTTATGTGGATTCGGAGGAGAATGTGCGACAACTGAAGGTGGCTCGAACACAATACCGATCAACCGGCGCGAACACCGCCACGTGGACCGAGGAAGATTATCGGATTGATCTGGTGCTGGAATTCGATCCCGTACGGAAACGTATGACAGTGATGGCACGACATCCGGATGGAACTTATCATATACACAGCAAAGGAGCAGAAACATCAATGCTTTCGCCCGAAGTAAGTTCTCTGTCCGTTCTGATTAGGGACATTAAATTAACCGAAAGTAGACACAAGTAAATTGCCAAACAACAGTTTAAATATTGCAGAAAATCTTCTTAATCTGTCTGTTAGTCTGTTTTTCTCGTTTTCTTGTCGTCAAAGGTAAGGTTTTACTAGGTGAAATCCACACAAGCGGTTGCTTTTCTTGTCCCACATTTTTTATGCCCAGATGGATAGATTATCCGATCAAGAAGATATGAGGAATGCCACAAATTTTCATTGTTGGATGTACTGACTGAGTGTTACGGATGTCGAAATGCAAGACATGACAATGACTCACCCAGCGTATGCTTGAAAGAATCAATTGTGAACGCAGGAACAGAGAATTTCTGATACTACAAATTCTGTGGGTAAATTAATGGCTCCAGTATTCTAGTTGCAAGTTTTGGAGCACCAAATTGAAAGAATGCCCCTTAGGGGTTAGTGTCTAGTAGTAATGCGAACAATGACCGACTTGGATGATCAAGGCTCTGCATTAGTGGATACACCAAAATGAAGTCTCTTCGAATTCGGCAATACTGGGTGGAGTAGAACCACAACTATTCCAATCTTTCCACATAAGTCTTGCAATTCAGTCCCTTGACCATCTTAGTGGCCATTCTTTCCGAAATCGTATGATTGTGTTGTAGTGATGGATTTAACGCTTGAATGGCGTGCTCCGTGTGGGGTCGAATTTAGTCTAATAACAAACATGGGAACAGAAAAAGTTCTAACGGTTGATCAAGATAGGATACTTGCTTGAGAACCATTTAACATAAAATGTAATTTAATCAGTGCTCATTTATATATTCAGTTTAATCGTGTACAATGCAAATAAAGCCTGAATTGAAAAGCCAGGAAGCACTGGAAAGCTGTTTTGACTTCGTTGGGTCTTACCGGCAGTTAGATGCGATCGATGGGACTGCGAATAGGACTCAATAACTTGCAGGTATAATACAAGTATACTACCCATTCGACTACCGGGTGACTGAGCAGTTAGTTCGGATTGTGTCGATATAAACGATATAGCACAATCCAACTTTGCAAGTTTGTTGCCACTATCGCACTTCTCTCATCACAGCACTAGCTTTCGGGGTTATGACCTGTTAAATGTCAACAACTTCCCCGGTTGCATCGTCTTCCATATCCTTCGCTGACCAGCGGAACATTTACCACTAAAGAGCGTTAAAGCCAAACTAATGGCTTTGTGAAAAAATGCAACCCAAGGTGCCTATGGAGAATGTCATTGAATTCAATGTTTGGAAATGTAAAATTCTATCCCTACACTGCAAGAGTAGAATCTCGTACTTCCTCCGAAATAAGCACCTGTCACTCACCTCAAGTGAAAAGGAATTAGGTATAATTTGCACCAGGGCTTTGTCCGCTGCTACGAAGAATACTGGCTTGCTTAGAGAAGTCTTTGTTGGGTTTAAATCAGAATTGTTCACACATTTGCGACCAGTGTATATTTGACCCTAAACAGAGTACGCCATCCAAACTTGGAGTCCATGATTTTAATGTGATTGTAAGATGTTGGAGCGTCCACAAAGAATTGGCACCAAGATCTTCAAGGGATGAACTGCCTCATTGATGACGCCAGATTGCAATCTTTGGGGCTATATTCTACTCAGGACCGCCGAACTTGGGGAGACCTGATTTTTGTCTATCAAATACAGTAGGACCCAGACCACCCATCTCGGTTGCTGCTCACTTCGTCGCCCAATATACACATAAGTGGGCATGGTTTCAAGGTACTGATTCCAAAGGGTCGACTAAAATGTTGGTGCCAATCCTTTCCAGTCAGAGTGTGCAGTATTTGAAACATCCTTCCATCTCACGTCGTTTGTGCACCACCTATTTAACCCTCCAAGTAGAGACTTGTACTCATCAGCAGTTGGATTTAATCAATCTAACTGCTGATGAGACCCAACCAGGTTCAAGCACCTGTTCAGTAAGTGCTAGCTTTTCATGACCTGCTTCACTTGCTCCATTCACGATGAAAGTGACTGTCATTTAATTCAATCCTCCACTACTCTGCTCCCTCAGTTCATTTAACGCGTTCATCGCCTCGTGGAGACATTAGTACCTCAATTAAATTACTATTTGTTTTAATTTCTACAGTATGTGTACCTTCCAATTAAAATTGACCCGAGTATCAGTTTGACTTCAAATAAACGGTGACGACTGCACTCAGACTGACAGGATCGATCGGGGCAGTTGAACACAACCCCTGCGAATGCTAACTGAATTTGCTCTAGAACGTACGTGCCATCACATATGTACTTTGCGTGTGTGTGTATGTGTGTGAGAGAGAGAGTCGTGTAAAGTACGCGTCTAAAGAACTGGTAGTGCGGAGAACGATAATGGAAAATTAGTAAAGCAGCTACATTCTATTCTGACAGCGAAAGCAATGATGCGAGGAGGTGAAAAATGAAGTGAAACTTGTCAAATACATACGTACATATTTAAAGTTCCCCCAAAAATGCACCTACACCATTTTGTTACACGGTGAAGTTCTTCATCACTTGATTTCAGTTTAACTATGTCATTACTAGTCTAATTGAATACTGTGAAAAACCATTTGTCTGTTTGTTTACGAAATCGACACGGACGTAGGTTCACATCTCATTGAGTTTGAATTGCACAAAAATATCATTACTAGATTTAAACAATAGTATTGCAACTGTCTCGTAGCCACAGAAAAACAGTCGGCGAATAAACACATTCGCATACACCTCACCACACTCGTCTTAGTATAAACATTCAGGAGTTATTTTGAATTGTGAAATTGCAGTATCCTCTGTGGGATTCGAACCCATACATGCGATGCATTCCCTATCAGCTACACTACGAGGTCACAGCAATAGTACTCGGCTGAAACGTCTCACAATTCAAAACAATAATGCAGTCTAACAAACAACATCCTCAGTATGGTGGGAGGTGGGTGGCTGGGGTTGTGGCTGACCACCCTTCCCTTGCATATCGTGGAAAGCTCCCACACGACCAAGCGTCTCAAGTAG